TTTTCTTAGGCAGTATCTTTAGAAATATGTACAAGTTTTTGTTATTTAAAAACCAACTAAAGTGGAGATTGTTGCTTTTGCTTATATACCTTTTGTTTATTTATGTATGGAATTTAGACAATTTCAACATGAAAGTGGAATGTTTGAATGTATAATGATGGCGTTAAATTTTCATTTCATCTCTTATTTTTTTGTTTTGTTCTTTTTTTATATTTTAGTTTTTTTTTCTTGTGGTGTTTGAATCATAAAATTGTATAAAAGATATGATTTTGGATTTATTTATTTATGAATAATGATGGTCTTTAGTTGAGTATGTTTGTGGTTGCCTTTAATAATAACGTTTTAGCTCTTCTTCTTTTGATTTTTTGTTAGCTTTGTATTATTAACGGATCCAATATTTACCATATTGATTTATTTCTATTGTCATGTTGGTTTTCTTTTATTTTTTTTGTCTGTTTGTTGTGATTAACAATAGAGAAATACTTTCCATTTCATTTGATGACGAAAGAGTGGTCATCTATCGGGGTATTTATATGATTCTGCTGAGTTGTTTGAACGTGACAATGAATGTTTTATGTGAATGAACAGAATAAAAACTACAAGCGAAAAACTGCTAATAGTCGTATGGCTGGCACTTTGTGCTTAGAAAAGAGGCCAAAAATAAATAGGTAGATAGATAGATTGATAGATAGATAGATAGATAGATAGATAGATAGATAGATAGATAGATAGATAGATAGATAGATAGATAGATAGATAGATAGATAGATAGATAGATAGATAGATAGATAGATAGATAGACAGATAGATAGATAGATAGATAGATAGATAGATAGATAGATAGATAGATAGATAGATAGATAGATAGATAGATAGATAGATAGATAGATAGATAGATAGATAGATAGATAGATAGATAGATAGATAGATAGATAGATAGATAGATAGATAGATAGATAGATAGATAGATAGATAGATAGATAGATAGATAGATAGATAGATAGATAGATAGATAGATAGATAGATAGATAGATAGATAGATAGATAGATAGATAGATAGATAGATAGATAGATAGATAGATAGATAGATAGATAGATAGATAGATAGATAGATAGATAGATAGATAGATAGATAGATAGATAGATAGATAGATAGATAGATAGATAGATAGATAGATAGATAGATAGATAGATAGATAGATAGATAGATAGATAGATAGATAGATAGATAGATAGATAGATAGATAGATAGATAGATAGATAGATAGATAGATAGATAGATAGATAGATAGATAGATAGACAGATAGATAGATATTTTTTGTAAGAAACTACAATACAAGTTTTTCCTGAAAGTAAGGATCATATCACCTAAACGCCATGATAACTCCTTACAAATATCTCAATGTTTTAATTTATCTTGGAATCTCCTTTGTCTTTTCTGACTGTTTAGTTCAAAATATAATTGAATTTGAATCAAGTTCTCCCAGAATATTCCAAATTCTAGGAATATAACTCAATTTAAAAGAAAATAATTAGGGAACTGATCCTCTCGAAACATTGGTTTCAGAATATGTTTATTTCGAATTCTAAACTAAACATGAATCAAAAAATTAATTTATGATTAGATCCGCCGAAAAAATTCTTATCTTAACTAGTTTGAATAAGCTAAGTATACGATTAGCCCACTAAAATATGTCTCAAGTATTGTTTAACTCAGATAACTTAATTTTTTGTTATATTCGTTAGAACTATATTACTAATTAAGTGCTTCAATATCCTGTTTATAAATTGATTAAAAAAATAAGTTATTATTTATTTAATTTATAACCTAGTTAATATTTTTATTAATAAACTTTTATTTAAATAGTTAATAGTTATAAATATTGCACGTTTTTTCTAATAGACAGACAAACCGGCGAACTAACGAACATTTTGAAATTGTTTAATCTAACATACGATTAAAAATTTCACTGCAAATCTTATCTAAAGTTAAATAATTCTTATGATTAACAAGTGGCAGTGGGTCCCCTAGTTGCACACTTAATCTTAAATTAGATTAATGCAAACAGAGTTTAATCATAATGATATTTTTATTTTTTTATTGTCTGGTTCAAGAGAATTTTTGTTTATAGGTAGATAGATAGATTGATAGATAGATAGATAGATGTAGATAGATAGATAGATAGTAATATAGATAGATCTAGATAGATAGATATCGATAGATAGATAGATAGATAGCAGCGCTGATAGCTAGATCGATCTCGCTCGCTCGCTAGCTCGCTCGCTCGCTCTCTCGCTCGCTCGCTCGCTCGCTAGCTCGCTCGCTCGCTCGCTCGCTCGCTCGCTCGCTCGCTCGCTCGCTTCTCGCTCGCTCGCTCGCTCGCTCGCTCGCTCGCTCGCTCGCTCGCTCGCTCGCTCGCTCTCTCGCTCGCTCGCTCGCTCGCTCGCTCGCTCGCTCGCTCGCTCGCTCGCTCGCTCGCTCGCTCGCTCGCTCGCTCGCTCGCTCGCTCGCTCGCTCGCTCGCTCGCTCTCTCGCTCGCTCGCTCGCTCGCTCCTCGCTCGCTCGCTCGCTCGCTCGCTCGCTCGCTCGCTCGCTCTCTCGCTCGCTCGCTCGCTCGCTCGCTCGCTCGCTCGCTCGCTCGCTCGCTCGTCGCTCGCTCGGTCGCTCGCTCGCTCTCTCGCTCGCTCGCTCGCTCGCTCGCTCCTCGCTCGCTCGCTCGCTCCTCGCTCGCTCGCTCGCTCGCTCGCTCGCTCGCTCTCGCTCGCTCGCTCGCTCGCTCGCTCGCTCGCTCGCTCGCTCGCTCGCTCGCTCGCTCTCGCTCGCTCGCTCGCTCGCTCGCTCTGCTCGCTCGCTCGCTCGCTCGCTCGCTCGCTCGCTCGCTCGCTCGCTCGCTCGCTCGCTCGCTCGCTCGCTCGCTCGCTCGCTCTCGCTCGCTCGCTCGCTCGCTCGCTCGCTCGCTCTCTCGCTCGGTCGCTCGGTCGCTCGGTCGCTCGCTCGCTCTCTCGCTCTCTCGCTCGCTCGCTCGCTCGCTCGCTCGCTCGCTCGCTCTCGCTCGCTCGCTCGCTCGCTCGCTCGCTCGCTCGCTCGCTCGCTCGCTCGCTCGCTCCTCGCTCGCTCGCTCGCTCGCTCGCTTAATTTGTAAGAAACTACAATACAAGTTTTTCCTGAAAGTAAGGATCATATCACCTAAACGCCATGATAACTCCTTACAAATATCTCAATGTTTTAATTTATCTTGGAATCTCCTTTGTCTTTTCTGACTGTTTAGTTCAAAATATAATTGAATTGAATCAAGTTCTCCCAGAATATTCCAAATTCTAGGAATATAACTCAATTTAAAAGAAAATAATTAGGGAACTGATCCTCTCGAAACATTGGTTTCAGAATATGTTTATTTCGAATTCTAACTAAACATGAATCAAAAAATTAATTTATGATTAGATCGCCGAAAAAATTCTTATCTTAACTAGTTTGAATAAGCTAAGTATACGATTAGCCCACTAAAATATGTCTCAAGTATTGTTTAACTCAGATAACTTAATTTTTTGTTATATTCGTTAGAACTATATTACTAATTAAGTGCTTCAATATCCTGTTTATAAATTGATTAAAAAAATAAGTTATTATTTATTTAATTTATAACCTAGTTAATATTTTTATTAATAAACTTTTATTTAAATAGTTAATAGTTATAAATATTGCACGTTTTTTCTAATAGACAGACAAACCGGCGAACTAACGAACATTTTGAAATTGTTTAATCTAACATACGATTAAAAATTTCACTGCAAATCTTATCTAAAGTTAAATAATTCTTATGATTAACAAGTGGCAGTGGGTCCCCTAGTTGCACACTTAATCTTAAATTAGATTAATGCAAACAGAGTTTAATCATAATGATATTTTTATTTTTTTATTGTCTGGTTCAAGAGAATTTTTGTTTAAATCTAATCTTAATCGATTGCTTAAGTATTTTGTTAAATAATAAATAAAAATCTGAACAAAAGTCTAGCGGAGGCCATCACGTTACGGTTTGACAGCTAAGAACCGTAAATCCCCTTAGACATGTTTTCAAAACAAATCGGTTAATGACTTGTATGCCCCTGAAAAAAAGTTTTCGAAGGAAACAAATTTACTTTGTTTTTATTTACAACATAATTTAAGGGTCTTATTTATAATCTTTAAAAAAAAGTTTATAAAACAAATTTTTTATAAATCTTTGATAAATTATGAAAAATAAGACCTTTGATCCAAAAAGGAATTGGGTTTTACAAAAAATCATTATATATATTTTTTTTTAATTTAGGAAAACTTTCCAGAGACTTATCTTTAAGTTATTCAAATTTCGTTAAAAAGAATTTATTACTTTAAAAAATGTTTTTGTTAAATTTTGAAAACTTATATTTATTTCCAATTTCCCTAATAAAACTAATTTGTTATTCATACCCCCATATACATAATCGCAATATTTGTTTATGACTTCAATTATAATATAAGATTAAAATTATTTAATCGCAATTCTAATAAAGACTAAAGTCGAATATTAATCAAATCAATCAAACATTGCAATCAAAAAAGACTCTATTGCACAAAAAAACTAATCTTTAAAATCGTTAACCATAAAAAAGTTCCATTTTCTAAATTTTGACTATCTAAAAGATTAATAAACAATTATGTACATATATTGTTTCTAACCTCCACAAAAACACACCTCTATAAACAAAAATACCCCCATTAACACTTGACGACCCATAGCAAATACTTCGAGGGAGAGGTGGTGGCTATATTTTTAGACAACTCATCATAAAAAAAGCCTCTTATCGAACAGTAAATTAATTAACTATACAATTATATTAATAATTTTATAGCTTATAACTTTGCAGCGGTTTTATACAAAAAGAATTTTTTTATAAAGTATTATAATCCCTCCATTTTTATAAAGTATTATAAGTTTTTTAATTTCAAATTAAAAACATTATTTTCTTTTGTTATTTTCAGCTAAATCCGCTACTTTCTTCCAATGATGAAATCCAAGTATGAGAATATGAAAATTATATACAACCGCAGTAAGTTTGGTTGGTATTGGGCTCCGGTGTTTATAGCATTTTGGTTTCTGCTCTTCTATCTGGCTGTCATACCCAGTTTTCACTATATGCCCGATAGCCTTCTAATAGCCGATGAGCCAAATCATCCAGGACGCTTTATAGGAGAACGTGCTGAAAACACTTTACTTAGACTAACGAAAATTGGTCCCAAAGTTGTGGGTAGTCCCGCCAATGAACAGTCAGTGGTGGCCTTTTTATTAGGAGAAATATCTCAAATACGTTCTGAAGCCCGTTTGGATTTGTTCGATATTGAGGAAGATGTTCAAATAGCTTCGGGCAATTATGTTCTCTGGAAAATGGTCAATTGTTATCAGAGCATTCAAAATGTTGTGGTAAAGATAACACCAAAGAATTCGAATAGCACTTCTGCTTTACTAATTAATAGTCATTATGATACGGTTCCCGGTAGTTCGGGTGCTGGTGATGCTGGTATGATGATTGTTATTATGTTGGAAACAATAAGAGCCATTACCAAATATGAGACTGAACTAATGCATCCTGTTGTTTTTCTGTTCAATGGAGCTGAAGAGAATCCTTTGCAGGGTTCCCATGCCTTTATTACACAACACGACTGGGCGCGAAGTGTTAAGTAAGTTTTTTTTAAGATTATAGATACGACTATAGGCCAGACTATAGACTAGACTATAGACTAGACTATAGACTAGACTATAGACTCGACTATAGACTAGACTATAGACTAGACTGTAGACTCGACTATAGACTAGACTATAGACTAGACTATCGACTAGACTATAGACTACACTATAGACTAGACTATAGACTAGACTATAGACTCGACTATAGACTAGACTATAGACTAGACTATAGACTAGACTATAGACTAGACTATAGACTAGACTATAGACTAGACTATAGACTAGACTATAGACTAGACTAGACTATAGACTAGACTATAGACTAGACTATAGACTAGACTATACTAGACTATAGACTAGACTATAGACTAGACTATAGACTAGACTATAGACTAGACTATAGACTAGACTATAGACTAGACTATAGACTAGACTATAGACTAGACTATAGACTAGACTATAGACTAGACTATAGACTAGACTATAGACTAGACTATAGACTAGACTATAGACTAGACTATAGACTAGACTATAGACTAGACTATAGACTAGACTATAGACTAGACTATAGACTAGACTATAGACTAGACTATAGACTAGACTATAGACTAGACTATAGACTAGACTATAGACTAGACTATAGACTATTTCCTTTTTAATGAAAATTTAAAAACCAATTCTAATATAATTCAATATCGTTTTTATTTTCCAGAGCTGTTATTAATTTAGATTCAGCTGGCTCTGGTGGTCGTGAAATTCTCTTTCAATCTGGTCCCGATCATCCTTGGCTTATGAAGGTAACTTAAGATTACTTGTAATGTAAAATTTTAAATCTAATCAATTTCCCTTAATTTATTCCTATTAGTATTATGGCGCCAATATTGTACATCCTTATGCCTCCACCATCGGCGAAGAATTATTTCAAAATGGTTTTGTACCCTCCGAAACAGATTATAGAATTTTCCGTGATTTTGGTAATATACCCGGCTTGGATATGGCACACACTTATAACGGTTTTGTCTACCACACAAAATATGATCGTTTCAATGCTATACCCAGAAAAACATATCAATCGACTGGTGACAATGTTTTGGCTTTGGTGAAAGCTTTGGCAAATGCTCCTGAGTTAGAGGATCCAGCAGTAAGTATAGGAGTTAGGGGTTTCTAAAACAAAAACCTTTTAATGTTTTTTTTTTGTTTTTTGCTTTATTACAAAACAGAAACATGCTGAAGGTCACATGGTTTTCTATGATGTTTTGGGCTGGTTTATTGTTTACTATTCCGAACAAACTGGTCTTATTATCAATATTGTATTGTGTGTTTTGTTTATTATTACTTTATTGGCCTATATCTGGAATATGGCCCATCACACGGGCATGTTTAGACGTCGTATATTTACCAAATTTGGCATATTGCTTGCCATCCAGCTATCGGCCGTAGTGCTGACCGTTTTGGTTAGCATATTCATAGCCTGGTTTTTGGATGCTGTTAGTTTATCGATGACTTGGTTTAAACAAACTTGGATTGTTTTCGGTTTATATTTCTGTCCCATATTCTTTATTTTGGGCATATTACCGGCCATTTACTTGGGTTATACTAAAGAACATGGTTTGCCTTTGGCCTATGCCTTGCAACTGCTGATGCATGCCCATTGTTTGATATTGACCATAATAGCCGTGATCATGATCTCATTCGGCATACGTTCAGCGTTTTTGATAACGTTAAGCATTGGCTTCTATACGTTATCAGTGATCTTGAATATTGCTACTTGTTTCCATAAGAAAAGTAAGTGTGTTAAAATTGATATTTGTTTTTGTAATAAAATAACTTGTGAATTATCTGTTTATAGATTTCCTTTGGCTTATACCTCATTGTGTTTGCCAGATCTTTCCATTCCTTTTGTATTCCTACTTCTGTTATGCTTTCTATGTGATTTTCATACCCATGCAGGGTCGTGATGGTGCCAATTCGAATCCTGAATTATTAATTGGTGGTTTTACTGTATTGATTTGCTTGTTATTTGCTCCCTTCTTGGTAAGTTTTAAAAAGTTATGAGTTAAATGTTTGGGTTTTTATTTAATTTGTTTTTGTTGTTGTTTTTCAAATTAGGTGCCTTTGCTGTGCTTGTTCCGCAAATCAAAAACTATTATTTCTCTATTCGGTGCAATTTGCCTAATATTCATTATATTGGCGGCTACTTCGGTTGGTTTTCCCTATGCTGAAAAAGATGCTCCACAAAGATTTTATGCAGTGGTAAGTATTTCAACGGAATTGCTTATATTTTGAAACTATATTGTAAAAAACCTAAAAATCCATTACAAAATTCAATTCTGAACACAAATTTTCAATCTAGCACACTACACGCACTTTCCATGAGGGAGATCCAGCCATGACAGTACGTCGTAATGATTCTGGCTACTATGTTGTACCCGTTGATCGTCGACCACACACTATAGATTTCATGTTTAAAAATCAAAATCTCGAAAAGTCCGGCAAAGCTGATTGTGACACCGAATTAATGTGTGGCTATCCCATCTACAGTAGCAGATGGTTGGGTTGGAAGTAAGTAAACAAATCATTTATTACTTAAACACTTACTAAATGAAAATATTTATTTTACAGAGAACAAAGTTTCTTTATACCCGCCTCAGCTCCCGCTCAAGGTGGTTGGCCTAAAATGCAAATAATATCGAAGAGGCAAACTACCTCAAGAAATATTTTATTTACCTTGGAAATCTCGGGACCCGATCATATGAGCATGTTTATAGAACCTTTGAAAGATACCAAATTAAAGGACTGGTCATTTACCAAAATTCCTATAGATGAGAAATTCGAGCCACCCTATTTTGTTTACTTCTCTTATGCCTTAGATCCCACGCCTTTGAGATTTAATTTAGAATTTGAGGTAAGTTTCAGAAACTAAAGTTAAAGAAGTGTTTAATGTAACTCCATGTTTATTATTACAGCGTGAAAGTGCCGACTGGTCGGGTGCCACATTCGACATTGCCATTATAGGTCATAAGATTCATGATGAAATCTATAATACTCAAGATTTTAGATCATTCTTAGCCTCTTTCCCTGCCTGGGCTTATGTTAGTTCATGGACGAGTTCTTTCGAAAGTTGGAGATTATAAACTTAAATAAGAGTTTAAAGAATAAAAAAACTCCCCATAGCTTTAGTTTTATATTTATTTAGTGATTTATTTGTTGCCACTGAAAATGAACAAAGTGTTTAGAACAATGAACGAACGAGAAAAAAACACAGATTTAATCTAATGAATACTTACACCAACATTGTCCTTTACACCTTTTAATTTTATAAAATAACACAAAAAAATATATGTATGTATATGAATGTATTTATATATGTAGTCCTTAAGAAAGCTCATTTAATTAGTTTTTAATATTATTTACCTAAAAAACACCTACACAACGATTTGATTTAAAGAAACAAACATTTTAAATGAAAATATAATAAAAATTTTTTATTTTAAATTAAAATAAATTAAAAAACTTTTCTCAATTATTTACTTAAAATTGCCAGCTTTCATAGGAGGCAGCCCAATTAGTGGGATAAACCCATTCTGGGAATGTTTGCAGAAATTCTTGATATTCTTTAGTATAAGTGTGAGTATGATAAAGAAAATGGGCACCCACAGCCAAACGTAAATAGGGACCTTCTACTTGTATAAAAGAATGCTAAAAAAAATATGATAAATATTTTTGAAGTTTATTTAACATTTTGTTGATATCATTAACTAACCTCTATTTCTAGCCAGAACTTTAGGGGGCTATCATCCATAGAGTAAACATGATAGATAAAATAGGGTGTTTCATAGTTTTCATTTAAAGGTGTTCTATCAAACGACCAATCTGTTACATTTACTCCAGCCAAAGGATCCACATAGATGACAACTCTGTCGGCAGCTTTTAAACTAAAATCATAACGTATTTTATTATCTGGTTTATAAACTTTGCCGGTAAGTTTCAGTTCGGTGGGTATGACTAGATTTGGACGTGCAGCTGGTATCCACATAGTTGAATTTCTGAAAAATAGAGAAATTAAGGAAGCTTTATTCAAAATTACACAGGCCAACAAATTTTTAATCCAAAGTATTGAGGTACACAGCCATGTAAAATGGAAATTTCGAAATAGTTCTAACTTTTACCAAAAATAGTACTTGTTTAGGTTAAAAGTACTTAATTACTTTTCGGTTTAGGATTTGACTAGTCTAAACTAGACTGGTATATTGATTACACTACTCTATTAACTAGTTAATGGACTAAACTATTCTATAATCTATGGACTAGCCTATAGTTTATGGCATAGTATATGGACTCTCATATGATATAACACAATTTATTAATGAAAGTGTATTCGTATTATAACTTCTCAAAAATGAGTTCTTAAAACTTTTGGACACGATAATTCGAAAAACTAATGTCATGGGGAAATTCTGAGGCCAGATTGGGATTCTCCCAAATCCTTCAGATATGTATGCTTTGGTCTTTTTCATTCCGTAAAGTTGTCGTTTTTCTTTTTCTGAATAAAAAATATACTCAAAATCATTCCACTTTTGTTCCAAATGGGATTCTGTAACAGATAGATCTAAATCTAGTTCTTTTATACTCACTTCCAATCCATCCATCTAGAGCTATACAAAGGCAAACCACAAAATACTTCCTCCTCACACTCAGTTTTTGTCCAAGAGCTGGGTAAGGCATTTTGGAAAGTAGTATCGGCTAAACTATTTGGTCTGGTATCTACCGGTTGAATATAAAAGCCGGTATCATTCTTTAATACTCTACCATCATAATCGCGTATAACACGTTCGGTATGCTAAAATGTTTAAAAGTTTTAAAGTAAAATCTAAAAATTTAAATTTATATAACCAACCAAAACATAAAATCTTTGAGGAGCCACATCTTTCTTATAGGGAAAACCGGCAGGTGTGGCAGCAATAATAATAAATATTATAGTTAAAACACCAAATATAGAGATGAAAGTTTTGGACTTATGGAATTTATGTAAAATTGGCAGCTGAAAAAGAATTCAGAATGTAAATATATATTTTTAGTAAAAGATGTCAAAAAACTTACTATAAAACCGGCGAAATGTAAGGTAAATACCGCTACAAATAAGGAGATTAAGATTTCAGGTTTATTTTCGGGACCATCACGACCCTGCATGGGTATAAAGGTATTCAAAAATACAAAGGCCAAATAGGTATAAAACCAAAAAGGCATAACTTGACACACCAAATGCAAGGCTATATAATAGCATTCTAAAAATATTGGAAAATGATAAAACAAGTTACATACATATATAATTAAAAGTGTTGATAACTTACTAGTGGTAAATCTGGATATTATCATATTCAACAAAACCGAACTGGTATAGAAAAATATAGCAATCATGGGGAAGAAAGAAGATCTAATGCCCATACTAGTCATAACAATACAAATAATAACCAATATTATGCAGTGAGCATGCATAAAACAGGTTATAGTATCATTAATACCCAAAGGGGACTGAAAAAAAGTAATGTTTTATTTAAGGAAGTAGTAATTTTTTTCTTGTATATATCACTTACCGTTTTCTTAGACCATTGTATAAAAATACCGGGTATTATTGTCATAGCAAAGAACATGGGACAAAAGTATAGACCAAATATTAACCATTCCTCCGAATACCAGGTTTGTGTTAAACCCAAAGCATCCATTATCACCGCAATGAGTAAAGTTAAGCCAATGGCGACCAAACATGTAATAACTTGTACACAAAATATTTGCAGAAACTTTATATAAACCGATTTGCCATCACCACCACCATCTTTTTCCTCCACTCTAGCAATTAGGTATAGCGAAATACCCATAAATATTAAGGCACAACAACATACTACACTGTTTATAGCAATACCGGTAGGTTCAGTATAGCTAATCAAAAACCAACCCAAAAAATCATAATAAACAGCATGACCCTCAGCATGATCCTCCGGGTTTCTTAACTCCTCAGCATTGGCTAGAGCCCACGTTAGGGCTAAAACATTGTCACCAGTTGTTTGATAAGTGCCTCTTTGTAGATTTTGAAAATTATCATATTTGGTATGATAAATATAACCATTATAAGCATGAGCCATATCTAGACCAGGCACTCCACCATAATCTCTAAAGATGCGAAAATCAGTATCCGAGGGTACAAAATTATTTTGGAATAATTCCTCTGCTATGGTGGTGGCATAAGGATGTTTGGCAGCTTTTTGATAATACTAGAAAAATAATAATAAAATGTTATTTAAAACTAAGTTAATATTTAATAATTTCTTAAAATATATTATTTTTAATTCAATTCACTAATTAAAATAACATTTAAACTAGTTATTTTTGTGAATTTTTCATTTAAAACGATTGATATTCCTATATGTCTTTAATTACCACATCTGGCAACACTTATTATTGCTAGTTTGCTAAATAGTAACGGTACTCTAATCTGTCACTCTCACTCTCTATTGTTTTGTTTATTATTTGTTTTCGTTTATTATTAGCCGGTTACTAGTTGTCGTGTGTGCATAGCGTGGTTTAAGATTGCTCGTCAAAATTAATGAATTAACAATAGAAAAAGTGTTTTAATTTTAACAAAAACTTTATAAACTTGTTAATAAATATTTAATTAATAAAATTAAAGTGTTATATTAAAAAATTACTGCAAAAAAACTCCAGTAAATTGCTTAAGCTGAAAAGTTAGGTGGCCATAATATTGTTATTGTTCTTTTACAAGTGTATTATTGTTATTGTTGTATGTAGCTCTAGTGAAATAAAAACAATTGTTTTTGTTTATGAATGCAAATAAACTCAAGTAAATTGCAAAAAAAATTTGTCTATTTTCGTGTAAAATTGTTTAGCTATTCTTTGTTGTTGTTCATTTACACGCAAGCTTCATTGTTGTTATTGTAGTGTTTGCGTTAGTAATGCAAAAACAATTGTTTTTATTTGTGAATGCAGAAAAAAGTGTTGGAAAGTGTTTTTAAATATAAAAAAGCAGGAAATAATGTTTATTATTGTTTCCGTTAAAATCGAATGAAAATAAAAGCTATTTAAAAAATTGATGTTTAAATAAATTGAGAAAAAAATCTACAAAATAGTTAATATATTTAAATGGTTATTTATTAATGAAAAAACAAAGTTTTCTGACGCAAATTTTAAAATACAAGAGAAGAAATTTTTACTGGGTCAAATTGTTTATCAAAGGAATACTTAAATTTGTTTTTGGTAAGTTTTTCTAAGTAAATTTCATTTTTAATACATACCTTTACTAACCATGGATGATTGGGCCCAGTTTGGAAAAGTACTTCTCGCCCGCCACCTCCCGAGGAATCCAAATTGATTAAAGCTCTAAAAGAATCAAAAATTTTAAATTATAAAAATACGGCCAATTGCATTATATCAAGACTAGTTTTCACAGAGACAGAGAAATTACAAAAATGAAGTCCAATCATTAGTAAGGGTTTCGGTTATATGAGGTCTAGGAGAAATAATGGACATTTTTCAATCATTTTCGATGTTCTTCGGTCTTGGGTCAAATTTTATAAGTTTATAAAACCTTTCTGATTAAATTTGACATCTTTACACTATCTGACTTTTTGATTTTTCGTCAACTATTTTAAAATGTCTTGTCCGACGTATAGTTATAGCTTCTTTACACGATTTGTTTTGGACTCTTGGATGTCTTTAAAAAATGTTCTGGTACTAAATTCAGAGGACAACTTAAATAGTAAAACTGCAATTCAATTTCCAAAACCTATGATTATAGGCCGTACTCATTCTACTTTGGCTTTGAGACCAAAGATTTTAGTTTGAAATTGTCATCTTCATAAATGCTTCTTGGAGTTGTTATGGATTCAATCCCCTTTTTAAAGAGCGTTTCTGAAACCAGTACTATAATAGATTATTTATGTTCGAATTTGTCACCTTTGGAACTTGTTCTAGGAAAGTTTTAGAGATTTCGTTTCGTCAAACGAAATCTTCTTAACGAGAAGAGAACTTTCAAACGTTCCATATCGGTTAATTTAAACAAAAAACAGACTTTGTCTAGTTCTTCCCTTTTTTAATCACACAGGCGGATAGACTATCAACATATTGGTATTGTCTAAAGTCAAATCAAGTTAATCACTAGCCAGTCTTTCAATCGATTAACAAAAGTTTTCCATTCAACAAAAGTTGCACAAATATGTTTGTTTTACTCACTTGCAATGTGGCGCCCATTTATGTTGTGTTATAAAACCATGAGCGGCTAACAAATTACTCTCTTCGGCGCCATTTAAGAGGAAAACCACAGGATTCTTAAGTTCTTTCTCCGAAATCGATATAACCCTTAAAGTTTCCAACATTACCACAATCATAACACCAGCATCGGCTGCAGCCGGTGAACCAACTTCCGAATCAAAATGTGAATTAACCAATAAATACGAATCACTGGAAGAATTTTTTGCTGATATTTTTACAATAACATTTGAGACATTATGATAACTGGTAGCCATGCCCCACAGCATAAAGGAGCCGGAAGAGTGTTGGACATCAACCTCTATATCATAAAGATCTTGACGGGAGGCCGCTTTAATTTTCTCAATTTCATTAAGTAGAAAATTAACAGCATGTACTTCATTTTCCACGGTACCGGTAAGTTTTACACCAATCAACGATAAACCCAACAGCTGGATTTGAGCTCTTTCACCCACAAACTCATCGGGGTGGCGAGATTCATCGCGCATTAATATTGTTTTGGGATAATAATAAAAACTCGGTATGGCAGCCACATAGAAGAGTAAATACCAGGCCACACAGAATATCGGAAAACAATACCAAGGAAATTTTTTATTTTTCTTTATTTGAGCGGGATCCGGATTTAATTCAAACGTTTTACTAGTCATTTTTAAGGCGTTTTCTATTCAGAACTTCTGTTCCGAAGTTCTATTTGTCTGCTACTAATTTAAAAAACGTTAAAAGTATAATTAAACCCTCGACGAGAATACAAAACATTACGAATAAGAGATCTTATCAGTTAACAATACAGTATCAGCAATATGATTAAACTTATTAAAATAACGAAGTTTATATTTAATATATTTATAACAAAAAAAAAAGGTTATTTGATTAAAAATGAACAAAAGATTAACCCAATAGCTGGGTATGTATGTATTGCTATAATCTAAAATGTTAATGATTATAAAAATATGTTTGTTGTTTACGGGGGATTAATGAGGACATTAGTTCGCCTACATACATATGTTTTATTTTGTAGGGCTGAAGCTATTTGTGAAATAGTTTAAAAGCAAAGGAAATTGCATCAGAAATCAAGATTTCAAATATATTACAATATATGTTCTTTCAACTCTATGTGTATCTACAGATAATAAAATTTGAAATATATTCAAAATTCTGAAAAATCTTTTCAGTTTTTTTTTCAGAATTTTGCTCATATGTACGTATGAACCGATTTTGCTCATTTTAAAAAGGAATCATCTTGAAAGCCTTTCTTATGGAATTATATATAAAAGATTTTGATTCTGAAGATATCTGAGGTCTTCTGGAACTGGATTTCATAACACATACAGACAGACGATTATTTCTTAATACGTTATTCAAGATTTGGAAACTTGATTTCAAGATACATATGAACAGACACAAATAATTCCCCATCTATAAGGATTCAGAATGTCAATTATACATCTTAACCAAATCCACATCTTATATCTTTTATGTTCTAAATTCAAGTCCAACATTATTATTTGTTATTAAAGGCACATTGTGCAAATACAAAAACTTTATTAAATTTTTATCTACAATAAATTAAAAATATTTCTCTCAGGATTAAGTAAAAACCGACCCCGGTAACCTAATAATACCAGGTATCATAGGAAGCAGGCCAAGCTATAGGATCCACATATTTAGGGAAACTGGCTAAGAATTTCTTAAAATCAGCTGTTTGTTTACTTTCGTCATGATTCCAATGACCAGTAAGACCAATCTCAAAAGCAGGAGTACTCCAATCGCCAGATTTGCGCTAAAATAAGAATAAAAAAACTTCCATTAAAATCTATTAACTTTAAAACCTTTGATCCTCAAAACGTACCTCAATCTCTAGCCAGAATTTCAAGGGATCTCCATTAACACCATAAGAGAAATAGATAAAGTATGGTGGCTGCCAGCCCATGCGCAAAGGTGTCCAGTGGAAAGACCAATTTGTTATCTTACCATCACCTACCGGTCTTATGAATAAGCCCATATGATCAGGACCCGTTAATTCCATGTCATAGCGTAATTTAGTTTTACTAATTTGATTTTTTGCCAATACCTTTACCGAGGGTATTAAATCGAAAGTGGGACTGGGGGCGGGAATCCAAACACTGGAGGTTCTGTTAAAAGGAGAAGACATATCATATAATGAATGTGGGATAATGTTTAAAGATAAACCCACCTAGCCTTTACCCATCTATGATTGTACAAGGGTAAACCACAATACATTTCATTCTCACAATCTTCCACAATGGACTGGGCCAAAGTCATATTGGTAACATGATCTATAAAAAGTGAAGAAAAGAAGAAAAAATTAATAATATTGAAAACCGATGAATCAAATATTATTCTAGAAGGAAAGTTTGTTTAAGATTAAGGTATTGTCCATTAGAAGGCGTCAATCAAGATCGTTTTTATCTAATTGGAAATAAACTTACTTTTAACGGTATAGGTACGTCTATCTTGAGGCAACATGAAGTAACCGGTTTCCACACGACGAACTTCATTATTCATATCCCGGAAAGTGCGACGAGCATGAATAATAGAGAATCTTTGTACATTAGTTTCGGGTCTATAGGGGAAACCCAAAGGAGTAGCAGCCACAATCAAACAAACCAAGGTAATAGCCAACAAAGAACATATAATAGTCTTTGATCTATGGAACAAGTTAAGAGCTGGAATCTAAAATAAAATGAATTAATATAAATCTTTATAAATAAAATGGTTCAAAAGAAGACTCACCATGAAACCTCCCGTTAAGACGCCCACACCCACAGTGAAAGCACAAATGATCAAATCGGGATTAACACCAGCGCCAAAGCGACCAGTCATGGGTATAAAGGTAACAAAGAAACCATGAGAAACATAGGCATAGAATAGGAATGGAGGTATACCAAAAATGATGTGAGGAATTAACCAAGGAATAGCTATAAGTAAAAATAAATTTAGAAGATTTATAAAGATAGTAAAACAAAATTTAGAACATAATGCAAAACTTACGCTTATTGTGCAATTTGGTGGCCAAATTAACAATCAAACCCAAGGTATAGAACAACAAAGTAATCATAAACATAAAGGCCGAACGGATATTGCAAATGGTCAAAACCAGAGTCAACAAGGCCAAGAAAATGCAATGGCAGTGTAGCAAAAGCTGTACACGATGACCTATAGGAAAACGATCCTGTAACCGAAATAAATAAATTAAAACCTTTTCTTCCCAAATCTTAATATAACTTACATCTTGTGTATAATGGAAATAAATCGCGGGAACTATAGCAAAACCAAAGAACAGCGGGCAGAAGTAAAGACCCAAAATCAACCAGGAATTGGAAAACCAAGACATGGGCAGATGTACCAAGTCCATAAACATGCCCATAAAGAAGCACAAAGTGGCGGCAGCCAAAACAGCTATAACTTGCACCAAAAATGTATACATGGAACGTTTCAAAACCGTTACCAATTTTACGCCCACATTATTGGCCATCATTCGGAAGGAATAAGCACAAGCGGCCAAGGCAGCCAATGACACTATAACATTCAATATAATACCCTCAGTTTCGGAATAGAAAACCAAGAAAGAACCCATAACATCGAAGAAAATGGTATGACCTTCGGCATATTTCTAAAGAAAAGAAAAAAAGAAATCAATAATTAAGAAACATTTGAAATATTTCAAAACTCACCGAACTATCTTCCAATTCTGGGGCATTGGCCAGTTCACGCACCAAGGCTAAAACATTGTCACCGGTATTTTGTAAAGTACCACGGGGTAAAACTTCGGGACGATCGAAACGGGTATGATAAACATAACCGTTATATTGATGAGCCATATCGAGACCGGGAACTTTACCATGATCACGGAAAATACGAAAATCGGTATCAGAGGGTATAAAATGACGTTGGAACATTTCCTCAGCCACAGTGGAGGCATAAGGATGAACAACAGCACGGCGATAATGTCTCATAAGCCAGGGATGATTAGGACCAGATTGGAATAAAATTTCCCTACCACCATTACCAGCTGAATCCAAATTGATTAAAGCCCTAAAGGAAAACATAAATTTAAATAAATACAATTTGAATTTTGAACAAAATCCACCACTTACTTGCAATTCTTCGCCCATTTATGTTGAGTTATAAAAGCATGCGAAGCCTGCAAAGGATTCTCTTCGGCACCGTTAAACAAAAACACTACAGGATGTTTCAAAGGATTATTCGATTGTGAGAGAACTCTTATGGTCTCCAACATAATAGCCACCATAGCACCATCATCACCAGCACCCGGTCCAAAAGGTACGGTATCATAATGACTGTTCACCAACAAATACGAAGTGCCATTATAACCTTTAGGACCAATTTTGATCAAAAAGTTCTGTATACTTTGATACATATTCACCATTGACCAGTGACAATAACTACCCGAAGCAATTTGTACATCAGCTTCGATATCATAAAGATCTTTAGCTTCCGATTTCAGCTTCTGTACATAACTCATAAAGTATTTAATGGCTCCCTGTTCATTGGCACTGCTACCCACAACACGTGGTCCCAAATCCACCAGTTTCTGTAGATTAATTTCCGCTCGTTCGGCTATAAAGGAATCGGGATATTTAGCCTCATCTTTAATGTTTAAAGGTTTGGGTAAACGATGGAAGGCCGGTATGGCTATGGTATAGTATAATAATATCCAGAATGATAGAAAGACGGGAGCCCAATACCATTGGATCTTGTTGTGTCTAACAAAGAAACGTTGAAAGCCTTTACCCTGCAATTAGAGACACATGTAAAGAATGTCGATTAATGTTTTGGTGCAATAAATCTTATCTGTTTTGAAAGAAATATCGGTGATAAGCGATAGTGCAATTAGACTTTGCTGATCATGCACTCAAGATTAGGAAAATTTTAAGCTGTTAATCAGTTAAATAAATTGTTCAAATATTAAAGTGTGGTGGCAACTGTTTGAAGGTTCTTTAACATATTTATAAACCAGGAAATCCGTTATTATTTCATATCTATAACTTCATATATAACTTGAATACAAATTTGAATAATTTTTATAAAATAACTAATTCTAGAAGTGCAATCCTTATAAGTTCTAGAGATTCTAAAGTTCTCTTAATAAGTCTTTTGGGAACCTTGTCTTTGACATGAAGACGGATGAATGAATCGAAATTTCAAATACATTCGATAAATTATGAATGTACCCTTGAAACCTCGAAACTGTTAGAATTTGTTCTAAATTAATCAGTTCTAGAATAGGTGCAAATAGAACCATTTCAGAATATTGTACCTTGGAACTAGTGACATCGCCATTACTTCAGGAACCCGTTCTATGGTACGTTATTGGATTCTAAGGAGTTTTTATTAATTTAATGGAATGTATACTAGTTGCGAAGTTTACAAAAGTGCGGACTGGATAATTTCAAAATATTAAGAATTTTTCTAAAGATTAAAGAGTTAACTTTCTCTGTTATCAAAATTGGTCTCAATCTTTCTAAATTTCAAAGAAAAATTGCTGAAAAAAGAACTAATTCCAGAATAATTCTAAAACTTCTCTAGAACTAGTTTCGAGGGTGACATAAAGCACTGAAGAACTGGTTCCTGAAGAACAGTTTCATAGAACAAGTGTAAAGCCTTGACAGAACCAGTTAAGAATGTGATAAATTTGAACAAATATCATTAGAATCACTTCCAAACTACA